TGGGTGGGGGGTTGGTTGGACGGTACGTCGGTTGGAGGTGACCCTAGCAGTATTCGCGCTTGGAGACACCAGACTACGCATTTAGTTCAGTCCAAATGGACAGTGCAAATTTAGAGAACAAATTGAAATGTCTCACAGATAAAGCGTACGCACCCGCCTTCAAACACAAATACACAGGTCTACATGTTTGGACTAAACGCATATGAATAGTGATATGCTGATGTGTACAGGTTAAGACAAGTAAGCACGTGGAGACCAGGCGCACACATCCCGCGTTGAACAGAGCTTTCAAGCAAGGAACCTGCATTCATGGACGCCAATTAGTCAGATAGCATGTAACTGAAAAAGTAAACCGTACACTAGAGTCCGATAAAGTTGACTAAAAGTCGGATGACCAGCATCCAGTAAAAGTGATTTTAAGGGGTTGTATCCTTGTGGAAATAAGATATGAATGTTCTTTTTCCACTTGGTCGGGCAAACATTATGGCGCTCAAATATTTCGTAAGACGAAGCTATTTCTATCTAATGCAAATACAAATCAAATCCAAGACACGTGCAAAATCCATTGTGATACCTACGCTTGAATCCGAGCTATTTGTCGTTTGCTAACACAAGTACGGATTACCTAATTCGGTGGAATCTATTCCCAGATGACAAATTACAGAGACCTTAGGTTCCGTATATGAACACTAATAAATTTACCCCACGGATTTCTGTTTTATTACTCTATTGTATTGTAATACATCCTTTTGTGAGCAGATAAGTCTACATTTCAGTCGAAAAACACTCGTAACGCAATCGCAGGGAAATATACAAGAAAATCAAAACGTAAGCGAAAGAAAGCGAAGGAGTTTGTTCAACCCAGTGTTCCTCCGAAACTCAGTAGCCACTTTGTCTTAGTCAGCAGTGGTACGGGTAAATTACTGAAGAGGGTAAATACGATAAATGTTGGTTCTCGCAGAAGTGAGCCGAAAGTTTGATCCGATTGAAGGATGAGAACGAGCTGCAGATAAGTCAGAATAAAGAGTATGTGTACGGTTAACGAAGATTTGGGAGCAAAACGTTTACAGGAATCCGCATTGAGGTTGCACTGTTTGGTAGAAGTAGTCCTAGGACGAAGTGAAACGTGGCTGAGGATGACTAAACCACAACAAAATGGTGGCGAGTATGGAGGGACAAACGTTTAATTTGGCCACTGGTACACAGTTGTCCACGTCAAACTATGGCGCGCTTTTTTTAACGGGGTGTTATGGAGTTGTTCATCATACGTTATCATTTTGCCACAAGTACAGTTAAAAGCCTCTGAATAACTGTTCAACCGTTGCATCCTGCTAACTAAGTAAATCACGTAACCCGCTCAGTGATTCGGTATTTTATAGAAGGAGTTCGTCGTGTATAGGGCAAAAGAGGCAGAAAGTGAAAAGTTAGGAACCACTGTACCACTGTTTCGACCTGGTTGGGTCTCATCAGCAGTTGATAGTCCACCGAATCAACTGGGGATCGAACCCGGGATCCAAAAGGNGTAGAATGAAAGCATGCTACTCACTCGGACACCGGGAAGCTGATCAAACCACTTTTCATTTTCCATCCATACGATATGGCGCAACCCATCTTTGTGAGCTTTTGCGGGAAACGCGCCTCGCCCATTTCAGCACCAGCGTCCGGGGTTATGACTCGGTTGAAAACTTTCACAGCCTGATTGTCTTGTTAAATCAGAGTGGATCATTACTGATAAGACGCACACAAAGAAGTCTGTCTCTGTTTAGGGAACTGTAATCAATATCCAGTGACGAAAATGACTGGGAACTTTATCATATAATTCAAAGCAACAACTCTAACCAGTCTATGTAGCCTGTTTGTTACAGGTAGGACTTATGATTCCATCTACTCAGGTTTTAACTATCAAAAGCTGTGAATACGTACGTTCAATGATTTCCAGCAGAAGCAGAACGGCTGTACCGTACTTTTATTGTTCTTAGTGATTTCGGACAAAGTGACACAGCATAATTAATCAATTGCTCTACTAAGTCCTTTATCCAGCATACCTGTTGTTTCTATCTTTCTAATTCTACTATGTTCGAATGCGTCGGAGGAAATTCGTGATTAGAGCAGACCTCCAGACCCGAGCACAGGAGACAGGATATTGCAAAGGGGAGAACTCAGTTAATGGCTGGTGAAAGTTTGAGTCACAACACGACCATTCATTCTCGATTGTGATCCGTGGTTGACAAGCGGACGAGAAGATCATGGATGATATTTTATGCATGCATACAATGTGTGCATTCTGGTGCACTCAAATGCACTTTAGCCCAAGTCGTCTGTAGGGTAGTCCAGTCGAATCTTTAACAACGCCTGTCCGAATTTGAATGGTCAATGAATAACCGGACAGAATGTAGGGATGTGATCGAGCATAGATTGCAGCCGTAGGACTAGAATCATTCATTATTCACGAAGACCAATTGCCAGTTTGGGAGATGGTATAACTCGTCAGGTACAACAATGAGACAAAATTTACTGGTCTGTGTATTCGTATTCATCAAGTCGGTTTCCTTCGGTGATACCGTGTACATGCGCGCACGAGGTCGTGCGCGGGTGTTTGCGGCTGCACTTATGTCAACACATCTGTTACTTGATCTCCGTTCAAGAATGTTGCTTCATCATGTCCCGTATGCAGTGGAACTCAACTGGTATAATCACATTAAAATCAGTCCTGACAACAGAAAATACTGGAACTGAGAATTTCTAGAGGATATTGCTAGTTAATAACAGCTCACTTCAGCAGTACTTGGTAGTGAGATTCAGTACCGTTTATGCTATGTCAAATTAGATTTGGGATTTCATAATCTTCTGTGATGCGAGAGCCAAGCAAACACCTATCTGTTTATGCATTGTGTGAGATGCAATAAACTGACACTCGTAGTACCGTTATTATTACAAACACTACAATTCATGGGAATATGGAAACTTAATGTATGTATGTATGTATGTATGTATGTATGTATGTATCTATGTGTGTGTGTGTGCGCGCAAGTGTTTAGGCGGTCCTGCCGGTCGAAGTAACCTAAGTGGACGCGAGTGACTTCATGATGATTACCTATTGGGTATGCCCGCTTCAAAATAAAATCAGAATGGGGTCCCAATCAGACAGATTCATACGGCACGTGGTTCGGAGGCATAATTACAAGTTGTACCAATTTACGGCCAATTCATGACTTTATGTCGGAGAACCGAGTATCTGTGAGCGAATTGAAACATCATGTTCTAAATTTGTGACATCATCTTATTCCAACACATTAGCACTTTAAAATGTGCTCGAGACAAATTGTGACGAGAAGGGAAACGGACTTCCACTTCAAATTATTGTCTGTGATTGTTCTGTGAGGAAACGAATCCTTGTTTCATCAGGACACCATACACAGAACCGTAGTGACTAGTATTAGCGTACAATATCCCACGAAATTTTCTAGTTCCGCCGGGCAAAACAATTAACTATTCACTGTTGTAACTGGACGGACACGTGTTCATTCGCCGCACTCATCCAATCCATTGTAGGTATCATGTTCTCAGTAGTCATGATTCCCTAACCGGGTGGAGTGTTTCCGTTAGGTACAAAATAATAAAGTGTGGCAGATTAAAAACTAATATACAATATTTTTCCGGATTCGTTTGTGCACATCCATTTCCTCAGCTTTCTCATACTGGCTCCCCTGAGCCACGGACCAATTCAATATGTAACTGTGGCTAGTATTGTTCTCCTTTCTATTGAAGAGTGTTAGGACGCAAATAGTTCAATGTCAAAGTAAACACGGCACCAGATTAAGACTTTCATTCCCCCCCCCCCCC